TTATAAAACTCATGCAATGAGTGTTTATAAGTTATTATAAGTTGTGGGTCCTAAGGAATTTGTGGGTAGTAATTGTGAATCCTGCGAATTGTGTGGATAAAAAGTATATTTAACAATCTTAAATTTTACCAAATATGGATGAAATATTAGTTTCTGCAAATGCTTTCGACTTTCAATGTATTCTAATATCTGTCGCCGAAAGCAGGTATTACTCATTGCTCGGGGACAGCGTCAAGTTATGCATCAAATCGATAATCTTAGCAACATCCTACATGACTATTTCGGAGAGAGGTCTCAACAAGGACGAGAAGGGAGAGCTATGGGTGTTCAGTCGATTGGAGTTCCTCTACTTGTTTCTTTGGCTATTGGTGGCATAGGTATCTTCTTGTTCAAATCTGTGTCATCTCAGAAGTGATCAAACTGGAGGGAGTTGAAATAGAGTATAGAATAAAGAAGAAATGTGAAATGTTAAAGATATCTATAAATTATGTTGGATTTCTTTCTTCTTTTTGCCCTTTTGTCTACTTATTTTGAATGCTTATGGTGAGAAATGTTGTGACACACTCAACTCCCCAGAACACTCCCACACTCCATCCAACCCCACCTAAAGAAATAGAAGATTAATAAGTTTTGGTCACATGAAATCCCAAATTATTAGAGGATGTTTGGAGAGGATTGAAATTAATTTTTTTAGTAGATTGTGACAGAAGTTTTTAAAATGTGGTCGAACATTTGTGAATCCATAAAAGATGTGATTAATATTAATTGTTTGACTTTAACTTTGACTTAAATTTAGATTAAAATCAAATTTTAATTCGAATCAAACATGCTTTTAAAAAGTTCAGGATGCTAAGATATCTATACATTTAGGCTATGTTTGATTGCATCCCAATTTCATGAAAAATGGAAATCAAATTCCATCTTTTCAATTTTTTGTTGTTTGATTGGCAAAATTTTCCCTAGAATTCAAATTCCACCTTTTATGCAATCTAAGCTAACTTCCATATTTTCCTTGAATTCCAATTCTCACTGAATGGTGAGAATTGGAATTTTCGATCACTGTAGAACTTTTTTATTATTATTATTTTATTTTTGGTAATGGAAACAAATTATAAAAATTATTGTAAAAAAATATTTCCATTTAAAGGACAATTTTCGTGTAAAACAAAGTCAAACGAATATCAAAAGATAGATGATTTTCTTAATTTTTTTTTTGGGTGTGTTGGCAAGGACAACAAATTTCATTTCTAATACCAGTAAAATCTATTCCTTTAATTGACAATTTTCATGTAAAACAAAACCAAACGAAAATAAAAAATACTTCTATTTCAACATTTTTCACATGAAAAATTATCCCAATTAATCACAATAATTTATAATTTTCAAGAAAATAATTTTTAAGCAATTCAATTTCTTAGAATTCGTTTTCAATTTTATTTTTACAATCAAACGAATCCATAAAGTTGAAGAAAGTGGACTTCAATGGTCCCTTGACTTTTGATTCATGAAACCCGTTAGTTCCTAAAATAAATTCCGTAAAAAATTGCGACTGGTCGTCCTGACTTGGACAATGGATTGATGACATGACATTTCATTTGATATTACTTTGAAACCAAATATGATAATAATAATTATGTGGTCTACTTTGTAAATGTAAAAAATGAATTGCATCCTCAGGGCCCTTCATGGATCTTCGCGCTTAGAAGCGATTATTATTATTATTATTATTATTATTTATTTTTTCCCCATCCAATTCCTAAAAAGTTAGAATTTTTCCTTAATTTCTTCCTCTTCTGTAGACTTGCTTTATTAGTTTTTTTTTTAAGTCTTTTATTTGACTTTAACATATTATTATTTAAAAAAAAAACTTTCATTTGACTTTAATTTAAAATTTTAAAATATTTTATCTGTACGAAAGTTAAAAAATTACTTTATCTAAATAGTTAAATAAGATTTAAATTTTGGCGTTATCTATATTATGTAATTATGATCTTAAGATTCATTTTATTACAAATTGATTTGTCTAGTTGAAAAATTAAAACTATGAAAAATATTCTAATTTTTGCATTTTGAAAACTAGAAAATTGTATAATTAACTAACGGTAGGAGTTATCAAGTAAATATTGTATTTTATAATTTTAAATGTTTTGATGCATATTATTTTAAATATTAAATAATTTTTAAAATGACTACAAATTTAAAATAATATTATAAATAAGATTTTTTATTTTTTATTTTATTTTTTACACTTAAACCTCGCCTGAACTCACTTAGAGCCTGAAGCTTCAATTCTACACCCAGTCACGTTTTAAGCTTTTTAGACATTGAAAATAATGTAAGAGGATGCCACGTTTTCAATTTATTGTCTAGGTAGGATGTCAGTTAGATGTGTGATTTTGGAAGAGTGAATCTGTTTTCGAGTTGCTATAAAGATTAGATTGGAATGTTCTATGTCTCCCTTGTGACCCATAGGGTGAGGTTGGATTGGGGTTGGGGTGAGTGTGGAAGGTGAATTTTATTTTATTTTCTAGTTTATTTTTGTTATTTTGAATTATTAATTACATTTTGGGCCCATTTGCACATTTCGAAAATTTTTGACTCTTGCTGCCAAGAGAGAGAGAGAGAGAGAGAGGGGTATTTTCACTACGTTCTTGAAAGGTAGAGGACGAATGTGTCAAATTTCCTCTTTCTTAAGTTCTTTCCTTTTATCCCTACTGTTGGCTTCTACCACTTTCATTGTTTATTCAAACGAGCACTTTTATGTTATAATTATATTACCATCACAAAATTTATTAAGTACACCACAATTTTTAGGTAATTATATTTACACTACAATTTTTATTTCTTAAAACACATTTTAATTAGACTTAAGGCTCTTAACTTTGCTCATTATAACACTTACATCCCTAACAATTTTTAATGTCATTCATATTCTCGAACTTTCTTTTAGTTAACAAATTATGTATTTTATCAGTTTAATATTCAAAAGTTCGTTGAAATGACGTAAAATAATTTATTTTTCCATCATATTTAAAAAAAAAAAGTTGGACTTTTTTCCCCTCATCTCAAAGAATAAAAACAAATATTTTATATAAATCATCATTAAAGATGAGACATACTAATTAATGAAAAGTTGAAGAATAAAAATTTCGACATAAAAAAGTTAGATGATACTGCAATGAACAAAGTTTAAGGAACTTAATTGCAATTAAAATGTAATGTATCAACTAAAAATTGAGTTGGGAATATAATCACCCTTAATTTTTTTCTTATTTACTTAAATAACCTTAAGTAAAATTACATAATTAGGATTAATATACTTTTAATTAATCACAATACAAATATAAACCTAATTCCTTCTTCTTTATCTTCCAAAAACTGGTAGGTAATAACATCCAAATTTTTTTTCAGCTTGAAGGTCATAGTTTGTAGGTGTCGTTGCACACAAAATTCAAGGATTGGAGTTTGACATGGTCCATAGCTGAAATTAGAAATCAAGTTTATTGACAAAGAAATACAGACTCATTTATTTGAAATCAAGTTTTCCTCCTTTTTATCTTCCCCTTCTTCGAAAAAATAATTAAAATAGTATCGATGAGAAGAAAACCTTACCCATTTCTCTTGATAATGTGGATGAGAAAAAATAAAATAAAATAAAATTTATAAAGCACATCTAGTAACGCCTAATCGTGCATTAAGCAGTCAACTTGACAATGAACCGTTTAATTTCGTGTTTATTGTCAAGGTGCTACATTGTGTTCATGATTCACGGCTATGTGCGCTTTTTAGAATAATGGCATAATGTCACACTAATGTTTTATTTAGGGGCTGTCTAGTAAAAATTATTGACTGATTTTGAGCAAATTTCCGATTGTTATCCGCCGTGCACATGGGTCCCATGTTGCAGCAATGTTTGAAAATCAAAAAGTGAAATACCTAAGTTGCCCATCAATCATAAGAAATGAATTAACTATTAGGGGCAAAACATGATCATTCTACAATAAATTAGTCCAACATTGCAGCTATGATATTTGGTTTCTGCCATAAATGATTTGTCTTCATGAAAAGCAAACGGTAAAAATTTCACTGGAAATTTGAGTAAAATCTCCTCCAGATAAGCGCTTAATATTAGTACCTGCTGGCTAGCATCTACACTAACACGTGGGTATCTTGAGCAAACTAAATTTAAACTTTCTTGTAAATAAATAAATTCATTAAAGTACAGTTACGAAACATGAACTCTGGTAAGGATAAATTACTTTCTGTGTACACTTTCCCATGATAAAAAAGAGTCATCAATTTTTTCCTACATATTCATCTGTCATGTGAATTTTGTAATCTTCCTATGCACTTCATTAAATTTTATTCCATTTTTTTTTTTGTCTTTGAGGAGATCTTCTTTGTGTAAAGAAAATTACAGAAGAAAAATTTAGAAAATATACGATCAAAATGACCTTAGATAATCCTTGATAAGTTTGAAGACGACGCCGGCGTATGAAGCCCCTTCCAATTTTTCAAAAACAATCCCATCCATACGGGCCTGAATTCCACTCGAAGATGCCATGACTTCTACCAACTCTTTAACTGCAGTATCAGCTTCAACTATGGAGTTCCCTAAGCCACTTAAGAGCCCGAATAGAGATGAAGAAGGCCTCGACAGCTCAACAAGCGTGACCTGGTATTTTAGAAAACATTAGAAATGCCAAAAGTCAGAAAAACTCAGGGCCATGGGGACAGGGGACACAGTACGTTAAGAGTAAACATTATTTATGCTTGACAAAGAGTTTCAATAGTAAAGAGAGTTCTTTTACATACGACATTACAAGAAATGACAGCATAATACTTATGTCCAAAAGTCAAAAAACTGTTAGTCCCATAACTTATATTGTTTTTTCATTTTGGTCACCAAATCTCCTTCTGTTCTAAGTTAGTTGCTGAACTTTCAACTCTACTTCAGGTTTAGGCATTCGTCAACATCCATTTGCCGATCAACAGCGATGATTATGTGACATGAAAATATGTTTGTGCATTATCTTTGTCGTCCAACTAGGCAAAAACACGTATTGTTGGATAAGTCAAGCTTTCTTTTTCCCTTTTTTATTAAATAGAAGTGCAAGAACAACTTGCCTAACAATACGTGTCATTACATAGCTGGACGATAATTTTGAAATAGATGTTCTACAAATTGATAATTGCCGAGGCTTACAAATATAAAATTAGTAGTTAATATCCAAAATAAATTACTTTGACCGTGGTAGTATCCAACTTTCACTCGTAATAACATCAGTTAGAACCAAAAAATAAAAATAAAAATAAAATCAATAGAATATTTCCTATATACCATAATGTTGAATCACTTCCTTTAAAAATTAAGCTGTTAGAAATATTTAAATAGACAAATTAGGGCCCATTTGATGTAGATATTTTGATAATAGATTTTGGGAAAATTGATATTTTTGAAGAACGTATGTTTAAAACGTAGGAAAAGATTTTTGGTCCACATGCAAAATTATGTTATTGGGAGAATGTGGAGTTGAAAATGAGTTTTAAAGATTCTATATCAAAAAGGGGGGCAATTTCATTCTGTCATCAACTCGTACTATATCACCTCTTATTGGAACTCATTTCCAAAACTAGTCCATCAAATTTTCAAATTGATGAGATGCAAAATCTTGTTAATTTTGGAACATTCCATGTAAATAGCTGGTTCGACATCATGGAAATTTCTAGGATCTCATGCATTCAGATCACAATCCAAAGATTAAATAGTGAGAGAACTCTACAAATCTATAACAAACACAAGACTATTAAACAGACCTGTTTATCCACTGGTATATTAGCCTTTTGTTTCGCAATTGCTACTGCTCGAGAGAGTCCCCCAATAGCATCAACAAGACCTCGTGTAGCTGCATCACTACCCGTCCAAACTCTTCCTTGAGCTACTTCTTCCATGCTCTCCACCTGTACCATGATCATCAAATTTCAATTAAGTTACCAATAAAGTTGTTGACATCCCTACATGAAATGTATAATTCATTCAAAAATCATACAGTCATTGATCTAGAAAAGGCAGCCTTGTCTCGGAAATTTTTATATACATACTGTGCTGACTTCGCGAAGAGTTCTGCTTCATCTGCTCTGCAAATCATAAAAACGAGCATGTTGTAAGTAATAATCTGTAGAAACAGATATCCTATGCAAAACCACCAATCAAGGAATAACTAGGCCTTGAATCTCATATATTTACCAAATGTCTTATTTCTTGTTAACACCTAAGCATTGAAATCCCATGTGATTTTCTATGTTCCCATACAAGTTATCAGGCATAAATTGAAATGTGTTGAAATAACGGATAAGAGAATTTTAAACGAGTCAAAGTAGAAAGGACCATTCAGAACACACTTTCAATTCCTAGTGTTTACAATAGTTAAATAGCCACATTACCGTAAGTGAAAACTCGAAAACTCCATTTTTGGATGAGAAATAGTAGAGAGAATTGTAGAGAGAGGGAGGAGGAGCAGGAAATGGCAAAGAAGCGATAGAGATAAGCTGGAAAAGCATATAGAGTTTGGGAAAGGTATACAAAAGATATTATTAAAGCTGCAGCTTTCATTTGATTAAACAATGATACATTGATTGCAAGCTATCTTAATCAGTTTTTCAGTCTGTATTTCTGCCATTCAGTGTCTAATTTTTGTTGTTTCTGATGTTTTCTAGTTAGGAGCAGTTCTGTAAGAAAAAAATGATTTTCTCAAGGGTGGAGCAGTAACTATATAGGTCCTGTTTGAGCTCCATTCTACAAAAAATCATTTTTTTAGCAAAGTCATTTTCAATCCCACATTCTCGTAATAAATTAATTTTACATATAAACCAAAATTTTTTCCCTATTTTTTAACAGCACATTTTCTAAAAAATCACTACTACAAAACCTATTTTCTCAAATAATGGGGCACAAATACACCAATAGATTCTACCGTAAGGGTAGCAACGGGCCCGGGCTAGCTAGTGACCACATTTAGATGAGGCCAAGGCCAAGTTAAGCTTGGTGTTTAGCTTGATGAGCTGAGCTGAACTGAGTGTGTCTTGGGCTTTACAGGGCAGCTGCAGGCTGTGGGCTTTTTAATGTCATAGTTAATTTATAAATTTCTGTAAAGCAGGGTCTAGCCCCTTGGTCACTGAGCCAGCCCAAACTTGGTACGTTGAACGATGGGCTGAGCCAGTCTCGTCCAACCAGATGTACCCAGCTTGGATGGCAACGGCCAAGCTGAGCCATTTTGCCACCCCTAGTTTTAGCATGTTCAGAACTATGGCAGTGAATTTAGTTTGTTCCCAAGTTCAAAGATGTATTTATGAGTGTGGATGCTTTTTGGAGCCATATGGATTCTTAACAGTGTTTCAATTTGGCTGATAATCAAGTTAACCAAAATTCAACATGTGCTTACTTCATATGAATGTATCCCGTCGGATTCTAGGACTGATTCCTAGAGCTTTTTCTTCTACCTTCGTTCTAACTACAATCTTATATGTCATTCCAATCTTCAAAGTACTTCTGGTATCATATGATTAAAAGCATCTTTATCCAAAAATTAATGCATATTTACAAACAACAATGAACCAAAAAATGGGCAGTTTAGTTCCTCATACTTCAAGAACATGCTTTTGAGTTACCTTATCACATAGTCACTTTATAGTACATATTTTTTGCAAGTCAAAGCTTTAAGTACCTGAATGGCCTCTGTTCAGCAGCAGTCAGCTCCGCATATCTTCCCCTTGATATTATCTCCTTATTGAAGCCGATTTTTTCATATAGCTTCTCCAAATTAAGCTTTCCTATGTAAAAATAACAAAATATCAATTTTTATTATAACCCAGAACAAAGTTTGTCGTGTCGATCCATTACCATCCAAAAAGGTTCTCCCGCATAGATTAAAGAATTACAGCTACATTTATGGAGCTTATACAAACTTCAGACAGTTTAGACAAAAGAAACATAATAAGAAAGAATAAGAACTGGGAAGGAATTTAAGCAGCATAAAAGAGGTGAGTGGAAATGGAAAAATGGAAGACAAAACAACTTAGAAGCGAGAAAACATAGCTAGTCCCCACAAACTTCACTGCTCGATGATATAAGAGAACAAAGATGACATGGAACAAAAAATAAGAAAGAACAACATATGCTCTTCCCCAACTAATGGTCCAAATTCTCATGCAAATAACTGAAATAATGTTGATGCATTTATTTAAGCATAGTTATTAATCGCTCAAATGTTCTTGTAGCAAAATCATGTCAATGTGGAACTGTCAAGTAGTTATTCATTATCCAAAAATTATATTTTAACTCTCAAGTGTTTTGCACATGGAGACAAAAGTAAAAGAAAATTTAGAAGCAATTATTTTAAGATGCCAAGTTTGGTAACCAAAGGGACATGCCATAAGTCTCAATGTTCAAAGTGAAATAATGCGCCACCAACTTCGTCATAATGAAGTACACTTTATATTCTACACGAAAGATCAATACAAGATAATGTATTCAGTAAAGAACAAGGCAGGAACATTCTATAAATTTCAGGAGAAATTATTTAGCCTCTGTTTGGCCCCCATTTTGTGTAAATGAAAATGTGTGGAATAATGTTTTTTAAAAAAAATGAGTGGTTGAAAAAGAAAGAAAAGTTTTCAATTTACGTGTAATATTATTTTATGGAAGATTGTGTGGTTGAAAATATGAGAGAGAAAAATGGAATATAATGGAATGAAAATTAATGGGGGTCAAACGGGGGCTTAATTTTAACACCAACTTGCTAAAATTCAGCACTCTAAAAAATTCATTTTGAAAAAATTATAGGTATTTTAGCAGTCAAAATATCAACGCTAGTTAATGATCCAAGATAAAAATTAAGGATCCAGATAAACTTCGAGCTTTTCTAGATGTGCCTCACTATACTTTGCTGTTAGGAGCTTCTCTGGTGCAATTTTAGAAAATATGGTTCATGCTATACTAGGACAGCAGCATCTTAAGGTATCTACGTATGCTGCAAATTTAACAGGTACAATGTTCCTTCAACTTGATTGTTATTATGTCAATTTCAAATTTAAAATTCTCAAGTTTCAACTCATACTCATGTCATGTGACTGCACCCAATAGCTTTTACTGGTTCCAGGACATCAGTTGAAATTTTGAATTTCTTCAAAAGAAACAAAATTTTAGGCAGCTCTCACTTGCTTGCGTCCAACTTCCTTCAACTGCAAAAAATTTCTTGCAAGAATTTAAAGTATAGTCGCCAGGTCTCACCTGTCACAACTCCAATTGAACCTGTTAACGTAAGATTCTCAGCTACTATAGCATGAGCAGCCATTGCCATGTAGTATCCTCCACTAGCAGCAACATCAGCCATTGATGCAATCACAGGTTTAGAGGCCGCCAATAGTTTGATTTCCCTCCACATTCTTCAAAACACAATAACAACACTAATCAATGAACAATCAAACATTTTCCTGTCCATAGGAATCCTATTACTTTGAACACTTAATATAATATTTCTTTTTCTTACTTCATCCTACGATCAATTTAAACATGAAATGCAGATTAAAATCATGCGACATGCAAAAACATTCATAAAACCTACGAATTGTGGACTTTAGCTTACAGATAAGCATTTTTTTTCCTTATTTTTTATGCATATTGACAAAAATACTGCTACTGCATCAAATTTTAACTGTTCGTCCAGATTTTGCCCATTATTATAAATAAAAATAATTTATAACTTATAAGAGACATCTTCACCATCCATGCCATTTCTGTAAGGAATGGACATTCTATTTATTAGTTCGATTTGATAGAACTACACAGATGATTCTGTTTTTCTGTTTATATAGGATAATTTTTGAACAAATAAATATAGATTCTTGACTGTGCTCCTAGTGTTTAACAGGGCTCAATGACACGGCTGAAGTTTCCAAGATGTTTGGTGCTAATTTGAAGGATTATTGACTACCATATCTTATGAAACTATTATTGTTAACATATATTTTATTTCCTTGTTTAGAAGATTAGAATATATTTAAGTTTGGTAGGTAGGATCATTGATATTTTATTTCTGTCCCATAAATAATTGTACTCGGTTAAGACTTCATAAAAGTTTTCTTCATCCCTTTTACTGTGGTCTTCTTCCTCTATCACTCTCTGCATTATGGTATCAGAGCTAAGGGATATTTGAGCAGGTGGAATGGACAAAATGGCCATGACTGGTGCACACAGGGCCGAGGATTCAGGGTCTCAACTGGGACTGCTGAATCGTTCCCTACGAGTGCACCCATTATACCTACTCAGAATCCTATGACCACTCTCTTTGAAAACTCTTCTCTTCAGATTACTACCACTTGGCAGAATGGAAATAATTTCCTTCAATGGTCCAGATCTACACTGATGGTAATCCGTGGCTGTGGACGACTTGGTTATGTGACTGAAGTCTGGAACCACGGTTAAGCTAGCTGAAAATGATCCAACATATACAACCTGGGATACACAAAATTCTATGGTGATGGCCTGGATAGTTAACTCAATTGAAGATGATATTAAGGAACCATACTTATATTACTCTACAGCAAAGGAACTTTGGGATGCCCTCAATGTTGCCTTCTCTGACCTGGAGAATTCTGCCCAGCTATTTGCACAGCTATCTGAACAAATTTCCACTCTAAATGAGCGAATGGAAGAATTCACATCAAGAATTGAAGAGATAAACTCTAAGCTTTCAAATCAAAAAGTGTCTACTAGTCAGCAAAATTTAGTTGAAGCCTGCAATGGCACTCCTCTATTCATGTCTGGTGTAGGAAATGGCCAATTGACCGGTTCCCTTCTTCCCCATTCCTCGTCTTCTCCCCAATTACTCAGGGAGTCTCCAATAATGGAAGAGGTAACTTGAGAATTTAACACCGTTTAGTTTCTGACATTCGAATGGAGTAGTTCTGGCCACATACGTTTATTCATGTGTTCAATATTTATAACTTAAATTGTGTTTATAAAACTCATGCAATGAGTGTTTATAAGTTATTATAAGTTGTGGGTCCTAAGGAATTTGTGGGTAGTAATTGTGAATCCTACGAATTGTGTGGATAAAAAGTATATTTAACAACCTTAAATTTTACCAAATATGGATGAAATATTAGTTTCTGCAAATGCTTTCGACTTTCAATGTATTCTAATATCTGTCGCCGAAAGCAGGTATTACTCATTGCTCGGGGACAGCGTCAAGTTATGCATCAAATAGATAATCTTAGCAACATCCTACATGACTATTTCGGAGAGAGGTCTCAACAAGGACGAGAAGGGAGAGCTATGGGTGTTCAGTCGATTGGAGTTCCTCTACTTGTTTCTTTGGCTATTGGTGGCATAGGTATCTTCTTGTTCAAATCTGTGTCATCTCAGAAGTGATCAAACTGGAGGGAGTTGAAATAGGGTGTAGAATAAAGAAGAAATCTGAACTGTTAAAGATATCTATAAATTATGTTGGATTTCTTTCTTCTTTTTGCCCTTTTGTCTACTTATTTTGAATGCTTATGGTGAGAAATGTTGTGACACACTCAACTCCCCAGAACACTCCCACACTCCATCCAACCCCACCTAAAGAAATAGAAGATTAATAAGTTTTGGTCACATGAAATCCCAAATTATTAGAGGATGTTTGGAGAGGATTGAAATTAATTTTTTTAGTAGATTGTGACAGAAGTTTTTAAAATGTGGTCGAACATTTGTGAATCCATAAAAGATGTGATTAATATTAATTGTTTGACTTTAACTTTGACTTAAATTTAGATTAAAATCAAATTTTAATTCGAATCAAACATGCTTTTAAAAAGGTTCAGGATGCTAAGATATCTATACATTTAGGCTATGTTTGATTGCATCCCAATTTCATGAAAAATGGAAATCAAATTCCATCTTTTCAATTTTTTGTTGTTTGATTGGCAAAATTTTTCCTAGAATTCAAATTCCACATTTTATGCAATCTAAGCTAACTTTCATATTTTCCTTGAATTCCAATTCTCACTGAATGGTGAGAATTGGAATTTTCGATCACTGTAGAACTTTTTTTTTATTATTATTTTATTTTTGGTAATGAAAACAAATTATAAAAATTATTGTAAAAAAATATTTCCATTTAAAAGACAATTTTCGTGTAAAACAAAGTCAAACGAATATCAAAAGATAGATGATTTTCTTAATTTTTTTTTTGGGTGTGTTGGCAAGGACAACAAATTTCATTTCTAATACCAGTAAAATCTATTCCTTTAATTGACAATTTTCATGTAAAACAAAACCAAACGAAAATAAAAAATACTTCTATTTCAACATTTTTCACATGAAAAATTATCCCAATTAATCACAATAATTTATAATTTTCAAGAAAATAATTTTTAAGCAATTCAATTTCTTAGAATTCGTTTTCAATTTTATTTTTACAATCAAACGAATCCATAAAGTTGAAGAAAGTGGACTTCAATGGTCCCTTGACTTTTGATTCATGAAACCCGTTAGTTCCTAAAATAAATTCCGTAAAAAATTGCGACTGGTCGTCCTGACTTGGACAATGGATTGATGACATGACATTTCATTTGATATTACTTTGAAACCAAATATGATAATAATAATTATGTGGTCTACTTTGTAAATGTAAAAAATGAATTGCATCCTCAGGGCCCTTCATGGATCTTCGCGCTTAGAAGCGATTATTATTATTATTATTATTATTTATTTTTTTCCCATCCAATTCCTAAAAAGTTGGAATTTTTCCTTAATTTCTTCCTCTTCTGTAGACTTGCTTTATTAGTTTTTTTTTTTAAGTCTTTTATTTGACTTTAACATATTATTATTTAAAAAAAAAACTTTCATTTGACTTTAATTTAAAATTTTAAAATATTTTATCTGTACGAAAGTTAAAAAATTACTTTATCTAAATAGTTAAATAAGATTTAAATTTTGGCGTTATCTGTATTATGTAATTATGATCTTAAGATTCATTTTATTACAAATTGATTTGTCTAGTTGAAAAATTAAAACTATGAAAAATATTCTAATTTTTGCATTTTGAAAACTAGAAAATTGTATAATTAACTAACGGTAGGAGTTTGACATGGTCCATAGCTGAAATTAGAAATCAAGTTTATTGACAAAGAAATACAGACTCATTTATTTGAAATCAAGTTTTCCTCCTTTTTATCTTCCCCTTCTTCGAAAAAATAATTAAAATAGTATCGATGAGAAGAAAACCTTACCCATTTCTCTTGATAATGTAGATGAGAAAAAATAAAATAAAATAAAATAAAATAAAATAAAATTTATAAAGCACATCTAGTAACGCCTAATCGTGCATTAAGCAGTCAACTTGACAATGAACCGTTTAATTTCGTGTTTATTGTCGAGGTGCTACATTGTGTTCATGATTCGCGGCTATGTGCGCTTTTTAGAATAATGGCATAACGTCACACTAAAGTTTTATTTAGGGGCTGTCTAGTAGAAATTATTGGCTGATTTTGATCAAATTTCCGATTGTTATCCGCCGTGCACATGGGTCCCATGTTGTAGCAATGTTTGAAAATCAAAAAGTGAAATACCTAAGTTGCCCATCAATCATAAAAAATGAATTAACTATTAAGGGCAAAACATGATCATTCTACAATAAATTGGTCCAACATTGCAGCTACGATATTTGGTTTCTGCCATAATGATTTGTCTTCATGAAAAGCAACGGTAAAAATTTCACTGGAAATTTGAGTAAAATCTCCTTCAGATAAGCGCTTAATATTAGTACCTGCTGGCTAGCATCTACACTAACATGTGGGTATCTTGAGCAAACTAAATTTAAACTTTCTTGTAAATAAATAAATTCATTAAAGTACAGTTACGAAACATGAACTCTGGTAAGGATAAATTACTTTCTGTGTACACTTTCCCATGATAAAAAAGAGTCATCAATTTTCTCCTACATATTCATCTGTCATGTGAATTTTGTAATCTTCCTATACACTTCATTAAATTTTACTCCATTTTTTTTTTTGTCTTTGAGGAGATCTTCTTTGTGTAAAGAAAATTACAGAAGAAAAATTTAGAAAATATACGATCAAA